AGTCGGGATACAGGGAGCTCCGTTACAGTGCATTATGTCCAAATATCTTCACTTTGTTCTTGTCTGTCAGACATTGTTCCAGAAGTCTTGTGGTTTGTTCAGATGTAACTTTGCAAACCTAAGCCATGCTGCCATGTTTATTTTAAAGAGAAGAGGCTGTCTCCTGGCAACAAACTATACTTGTTCAGTATTTTTCTAATTGTACTGCCGTGAACGTTAACATTTAACTTGCTAACTTAGGCATGTAGAGTCTGAGACGTAATTCACTTAGCTTCTTTTGCAATTTCTCTGAGCTTTGCACAGTGTGACCTTAGGGTGAATTTGCTGGGGCATCCACTCCTGGGCACATTGGCAACTTTCTTGAGTGGTTTCCACTTTTGAATAATCATTCTCACTGTAGAATGATGGACTTTAGATTGTTTGGAAATGACCTTATAGCCTTTCTCTTTCTTTGGTGGGCAGCAACGATTGCTTCTCTAAGATCATTGCTGATGTCTATCCTCCTTGGCATTATGTTAACACACACCTAATTGCCCAACTAGTTATTTATATATGTTTTTATTCTAATCTATGGTACTGATTAAGTGGCTGGCAGTAGTAAAATCTGTAGGTCTCTTTCAGTGCTGAGCTAGGTGTACAGGCCAGCATTGATTGATCTGGCTCTGTAGTCATGGCTGCTTCTGTGTAGTCAGCGTGTGCTTAGAGAAGGAAGTTACATTCTTATTACTCTATCCTCACACAGAACACAGCAACAAGACGGGATACCAGATCAGTGCTGAACACATCTCACCCAGCACAGCTCCAGGGACAAGTACAATATGGGGCTCATTCAGGTGGGAGAAAGGTACCATGTTCGATGGGGAATAAAGAAGTGGAGTAGACGTATGAGAATGATGGTGGGGAAAATTGAGGAGAGACAGAAATTGTGAAGGGAAAGAAGTGATGAAGGTAGTGGCACAAAATTGAGGGGATGTTAGGAAAGGATCGGTGGGAGAGAGAATTTAGGCTAGTGGTGAGTGGGAGACACCAATGAATGACTGAATAACAAGTAAGTGGAGGGATGAGTGACAGAGACAAATATATGGAGGGAATAGGGAGAGACAAAGGGGGAGAATAATGTGAGACCGATAATGGAAGACTTGTGGAGAAATGGAAGAGAGATGAGAATGAGGTTTGGAGTGTGAGAAATGTAAGGAAATTGAGGAGAGCCATATATGGGGAGAGTCAAGTGGGCAGCAGTGAGAAGACATAACACTCAGTTTAACGAGAAGTAAAAAAATTAAAATGTGATCACACCTGCAATATTAAAATACAACTGTACACTTGCATTCACACACTGTCAGCCACATAAATGCACTTCACACTACATCCATGTTTTCATCCACACACTTGCAACTCACAAAAATATTTTCAATTGAACTCATGAAGTGGAACAAAGGTAGAACTCTAAATTGACACATACTAACACTATATCTAAACAAACAGACAAATATACTATTTGCATTTACACACACGTATAGATGTTACAAACCCTGACCTATACACAAAAAGGGCCTGCGTTCACACACTTGAACTATGCACACATACATTCACACACATGTGCAATATACTCCAATTAAAGGTTTACCTCCAAGTACCATAACCACATGAGCCTGCTGTATTGTCTATGATTCCGGGAGTTCTCTGTCCCTGTTTCCTGGTAATGGGACAAACTGTATTGCAATGGTTTGCCTTTTACCTGGGTCTCCCCTGGGTGCCGAGGGTCATCCTCGGCACCCAGGGGAGACCCAGCTAGCCGAGGAAAACCCTCGGCACCCAGATGACATTTGGCTTCTGCAGAGCAGCAGAAGTCAAAAGCCAATGCCACAGCTGACTGCTCTCAGACAATGAATGCAATTCTGTGCATAAAATATGCACAGAACTGTCATTAGTCAGCAAGAAGGGTTTTTCTTGGGTTTTTTTTTTCTTTCACAGTGCCAAGATCCAGTCCTTGCAGCTGTTCAATGCACCTTCCTTGCGATATGCACCTCCAATAAAATGTAAGTTAGCTGCGAGAACTGAGTTTGACTCGCGGAAGCACCTCTAGTGGCTGTATCTTTAAGTGAAATCTAAATTTTAATATTTAGGCGAACGTGGATGGATTTTAAACATTCTCCAACTTGGCTAAAGTCAGCGTAAACATTTTACTTGGAATTTGGCATTTCAATATTCAGTTTACTATAATTTGAGTGTTATTGAATCTACCCCCAAAGTGATTTGTGCATTATGTGTTTGGTATGTACATGGTATAGTGTAGTGCATGTTATTGCCTGTACAAAATCACATTGTTTAATATATGCTATCTTAGTAAGGGGGCATCACATTTCCTTATACGGTTGCTATCTTAGAGTTGTGTTTTTTTGTTCTTTTTTTGTCATTCCTGTTATATCGTACATGCATCCTGTGTGTACATGCACACTGGGACACACTGGGACACCTACATTAGATAAATGCTTACATAGAAATCTAGGTTGAGAAAATTAAAGAGAAAAATAAAAAATTGTAAGGCACAAAAACGGACCCATAATGAATTAAGATTTATTCTTGGATCAACAACCTGTTCACATACATATTCGTTATATCCTGGAATATTCAAAAAAAATTCTATAGAATCTGGTAAGACAACTCTTACCAGATAATTCCATATCTTTGTTTCTTACTTTAACCCCTTAAGGACCAAACTTCTGGAATAAAAGGGAGTCATGACATGTCACACGTGTCATGTGTCCTTAAGGGGTTAAAGAACTCTGCTGTTAGCAAAAATACCTTATTCCAGTCTCAACGGGTGACCTGTCTGTTGTATATTCCTGCTAATAACCTGCTTTGTACATCTGTTGGTCACAAAAATTCCAGATCGATCTGATATATGTTATTTGAGCAAACAATAATGTGTAATATAGTACATATGTAAATACATTGTATGGCTTGGGGCCTCAATAATATGATGTGCTTTTGGCATGCTAATTGGGTATTCTTTGTACAAAAAATACAAAAGAAAACACCCAAAAACAGTATCGCTCACCTTAGCCCTACTCCCTTAGCCATGCCTCCATTCTAAAAAGTCCTTTCTTTGTGCAACAAGCACATTGTAACCAGTATCTTGGCTAGGTTGCAGGAAGCCACACAACTTGCATTAGAAGAATGGTCACCTGGTAGACATATAGTAAGTGCATAATTACTTGTCTGTCTGTGGTGCGTCTGTCATGCCCTCCATACTAACCACACATCTGTATTTGAGAACTGAATTATGATTGGGACTTGGGCTCGTTAGAGCAATAGTAACACTGGCTGATCCAGAATCTCATCTCGGGAGGGGCACTCATAGATTATTTAAAGAAACAATCCAGGCACAGTAACCAATACAGCTCTCTGTAGTGGTTATGGTGCCAGGAGTGCTGTGGCGCCCTCACAGAGTAAATAGTCAAACAGTTTAAAAACAGTTTGACAATTTACTTGGGGTCTGCCAGGATAGGGGCTGTAGTAGGGGATAGAGCCTCTAGTAGTGTGTGTGTGTGTGTGTATGGGAGGCACTGAGTGTGTGAAGGATGCAGGGTGGGTATGGGAGACAGTGTGTGAGGGTTGCAGAGTGTGTGTGTGTGTGTGTACGGGAGGCAGTGCATGTGGGCCAGTGTGAGTAGAGGGGTGCAGTGGGAGCACTGTGTGTAGGAGGGGCAGTGTGTGTTTGTGTGAGGGGTGTAGTGTGTGCATGAGAGTGCAGTGTGTATATGTGTGGTGCAGTGGAAGCACTGTTAGTATGGGGCCAGTGTGTGTATGAAGGTGTAGTGGTGGCAGTGTGTGTATGGGAGTGCAGTTGGGGAAGTGTGTGCATGGGGGTGCAGTGTTTGTGTGTGGGAGCACTGTGTGTATGTGGGTGCAGTGTGTATGTGTGCGGGGGAGACGTGTATGTGGATAAAGTGTGTGTGGGGGAGAAGTGTGTGAGGGCGTACTGTTTGTGTGGGGGAGCACTGTGTGTGTGGGGGGGTGCAGTATGTGCAGTGTGTGTGTGGGGTGCAGTGTTTGTATGTGGAGCACTGCGTGTATGTGCAGTGTGTGTGTGGGGTGCAGTGTTTGTATGTGGAGCACTGCGTGTATGTGAAGAAGTGTGTGTGTGGGGGTGCAGTGTTTGTATGTAGAGAAGTGTGTGTGTGTGTGTGTGGTGCATTGTTTGTATGGGGAGCACTGTGTCTATGTAGAGAAGTGTGTGTGTGTGGGGGTGCAGTGTTTGTAAATTTTGACTGAGGTCTAAAGTTGATGTCTTGTAGTTTAATAGACTGAAATAAAACTGAATTGCATTTATTGGTTGCATAAATTATATAAGCAATGTTAGGCATTTGTCCGGCACCAAAGAAAAATGTATCATTCATTTTACAGATTAAAGGCAGTCTGAGAGTTGAACCTGGCATATCCAGCACACGAGCAAGCAGATTACAAATAGAAAGTGTGGAAATGAATGAGAGAAATTTAAACAAAATAACTGTAGTGAGATAATGATTTTAAAGTCTGTCTAGAATAGAAACCAATACCACACGTGCCAACAGTCCTGATTTTTAAACGGTCAGTGCTGCATTTTATGGTATTGCCTAGGCAAAAATGGGTCCTGGAGACCGGTACTCCACATTCTCAAATCTGCTCGCAGTTCAGTGTGTGTGGCAAATTTTATGATAAAGGAGTGGACAGGGCACTAGGAACATGCACAGAGCACTTTAGCTGAGCCTGTGTTGTAGGTGGAGCCACCTCTTTTATAGCCAGATCCACCACCATGCAGGGTCTTCCGCCTTGACGCTCACCTCTGGTACATGCCTCTGGTACATGTCAAACGCATGCTCAAGAAATGCTCAAGAAAGTGAAAATTTCCTCTTTGACATTCTTGAATTCATGCATCATTTCCCTTTTAATTAATCCGAATATTTCCAATTTAAGGGAATCTAAGGGCACACAGTGTTTTGCTGTTAGTCTGAAAAATGAAAGTGGTCCTACTAATCTTCATAGTCCTGATCACACTTTGCCAGACTTTCCAAGATGATGAAGAGTGGATTGATCCAACAGACATGCTTAACTATGATGCCGCCTCAGGAAAAATGGTGAATCAGGTATTGAATTCAGGATTTAATTTTTATTTTGAATTCATATTTTCAGGATTGCAGGTGTGGAACTGAATGCCCATTTAACACCGCTTGCCAATTATGAACATGCAACATTTGCCTATTGGACAATTCCACCACAGCTGGTACAGTGGTCTAGGTTTATTTATGCTTGGCCAATTGCATTTTGAGGCAAAGGAACTCAAGATACTTAGTATGGTAATAATTCTGTAAAAGATGGGAGGTGGAGATTTTACTATGACTAAAACTTTGCAGTCCTAAGCTGCTAGCCCGACCTTATAAGTTACTCACCATAGCATACCCACCAAGGGTGAATTACTACTCTCCTAGGCTACCTTTTCACTAGTTGCGAGTGGAACTTTTAAGCCCTGATTTTATTATGCTATTACCTTTAAACTACTGTTTACTCTCTGATATTACTGTATGTTGTCCTCAAAAAGAAGCAACAGGAGGGTGACTTACAAAAATGTGCTTTTTGCATGTTTGTCTGATTGTGAGTCTGTGTATCTATATATGTCTGTGCATATGTGTCTGCATGTGTATCTGTGTGTCCACATGTGTGTCTGTATGTGTATATGTGTGTCTGTATATGTGTATGTGTGCATCAGTTTTTGCATCTGTATGAATGTCATTCTGTATATCTGAATGTTGTTGTTTTTTTTTGTTGCTACGTATCTTCATGTGAACATTGGTGTCTGTATGTGTATCTGTGTGTCTGCTTATGTATCTGGGTGTCTATATGTTTATCTGCATGTCTGCATATGTGTATCTCTGTGTCTGCATGTGTGTCTGTATGTGAACATGTGTATCTGTGTCTGCATGTGTGTCCGTATGTCTGCATGTGTGCCTGTATGTCTGTTTTTCTGAATGTGTCTGTGTATCCGTATGTATATCTGTGTCTGTTTATCTTTTTGTCTGTATGTTTATATATGTGTGTGTCTATGTGCGTATCTTTGTATTTGCATGTGTGTCTGTATGTTTATCTATGTTCCTGTGTGTGTATTTGTGTGTGTCTGAGTATCTGTGTCTGTGTATCTGCATGTGTCTGTATGTGTGTCTGTGTATTTTCATGTATATGTATGTGTGTCTGTGTATGTGTATCTGCATGTGTCTGTGTCTCTGTCTATGTGTGTATCTGTAAGTATGTCTGTGTATCTGTTTGTATGTGTGTATCTGTTTGTTTGTTTGTTTATTTGTATGTGTGCATATGTTTATCTATATGTGAGTCTGCATGTTTGACATTTTGTGATCCTCTGTGTGTGTCAGTTTTTCCATCTGTATGAGTGTCATGTATATCTGAATGTTGTTTTTTTGTTGCTTGGTTTTTGGTTTTTTGGGAGGGGGTGGGGTGGAGAGTTATATGCCAGGGAGAGGAGTGAGGCAGGGTTCTGAGGGGCCATGCAAAATGCTTGCCCAGGGTCCCATCAATGTTAAAGACGGCCCTGAATAGAAAGTGCACAAGAGGCACGTGAATTCCATATTAAACATGTAAAATGACACAAGTGCAACCATGCAGTGCCACATTCTTCCCTAGAAAGCATTTCATTTACCACCAGCAAACCAAACAAACAGCAGTATATGGCAATCCAGCAGACATTTCATTTTATAAAGAGCAGTAATACATTTAAAACTTTAAATAAAATGTGCGAAACATAGCACATATCTCCAAACGAATCTGTTGAATCTGTAAAACACTCTAGAGCGGATATACAGTCCCATAATCAAATGTTATAATGCCATCAATAAATGGGTGGTGGGAGTAATAATTAACACTCTATGTGTTCTGGCAACAACTGGATACTAAGAAAATATATGTGATAAAATAGGGTAAAAAGTATAATCATTTTATTAAAATTGAATTAATACCTTCACTACAAAGCACTTTGTAAAATTATTAGCATAACATCTAGAGGGAAACTATAGTGCCAAGTGCCAGGAAAACAAACTCGTACATGCACGGCAATGGCCGTGCTCCTATTAGGATTTTCCCATAGGAGAGCATTATTCAGTGCTTTTCTATGGGAATTCCAGGTGACTTTGGAAGACCTCATGTATAGCATGACGATGTCCAGCGTTGTTTAGGCTACCAAAATTTGCCTATCCACTGGGAAGTCCCTTTAGTTCCTGCCTGTTAGAGGACAGGCACTAGAGGAAGAATTAACCCTAGCCGTTTTTTACATGCTCAGGGTTAAGGGTTATGGGAGTTTGCACCCAGACCACTATCAATGAGCTTAAGTGGTCTGGGTGCCTATGGGATGCATAGAGAGCACAAACTATATGTTAAAATATAAACTTTGTAGATAGATTGCTGTTTAGAAAGCCTAAAGAATAAAATTGTGTACATTTACACAATTTGTATTTTTCATTTTTTGTTCATCCTTTATAGAAATAAGAACTGACATTTTTAAAACTGTATACAGTAGCAGAAATCAGTGTATAATTGCAGGTCAGCTAGGATGGTACCGCTTAGACACCTAGTTGCATATTCATAGGAGGTCTTGGCCAAAAAGTGTGTACTCTATATCCGCCATCCTCTTTACTCCAGGGACTGGCCCAATTACCAGCTGGGCCATATGGCAACAGTAAAGGAAGTATGGTAAGCCCAAACATTCTTTTTATGCGTGCACAAAAAAAAATAGAAATGGATATTGTGTCTATAAACACACCAGATACAATTTTGGTCCATGATTATTATTATTATTGCCATTTATATAGCGCCAATAGATTCCGTAGCGCTTTACAATACTATGAGAGGGGGATTTAACCATAAATAGGACAATAACAAGAAAACTTACAGGAACAATAGGTTGAAGAGGACCCTGCTCAAACGAGCTTATAGTCTATAGGAGGTGGAGTATAAAACAAATTAGGACAGGAAATAGCAATCAAATAAGGTGGGAGGGAACAGAGCTGGAGGAGAGAGTAAAGTGCTGCCGTTTAGGAGAGATCAAGAGACAGGTATATGAGGTTACTCTGGGAGGCATTAAGCTTTCCTAAAGAGATGGGTTTTAAGGCACTTCTTAAACAATTGAAGACTAGGGGTGAGTCTGATGGTGCTAGGCAGGCTATTCCATAGGAAGGGAGCCGCCCGTGAGAAGTCCTGCAAGCGTGAGTTGGCTGTATGGGACGAGCAGCCCCTTTTGGCCCATTTTGCAGCAATTACTGGGTGTTATGGAAGACCAGGATGCTTCAATAGCGGCCTTCAGCTAGACTGCATTGTTCGGTCTCATGTCTCTCATCCAGGGCTGGCCTTAGGTGTTCAGGCACCCTGTGCGAGCTAATCTTGTAGCGCCCCCCTCTTCCATCATTGCCCAAAGTGTTTTTTTCAAGGAGACATATAAGCTGAATATTAAGGCTGAGGACGGCACTGGCCATGTTGGTGGAGTACTCGAAACAGTGCAGAATGGCACACAGGTCTCGCAGGGAGGCCCACTCATTGGTGGTGAAGTGGTGCTGTTCCTGTCAGTCTCTCCAGCATGTGCAAGGTGGAGTTTCACCTTGTGGGCACGTCGCATATGAGACGGTGAGCGGGAAGGCAGAAGTTATGCTGCAGCGCAGACAGGTGAGCAGCAGCAGGGTGAGATGCTTTGCATGTAGATGCTTGGTCATGCAGGTTGTGTTCAGGTTTAGCACGTTTGTGCCTCACTTCAGGCTCTGATTGCACAGCATGCAAACCACTCGTGTTTTGTCGTCAGCACATTGTCTGAAGAACTGCCATGCCAGGGAACTCCTTGGAGCTGGCTTTGGTGTGCTCGGTCCCTGGGTGCGGTGGGCAGAAGCAGGCCTTTTGTCTAGGGGACGGCCGCTCGCATTTGCACCACTGCAGAAATCCACAGCAGTTGGCACCTGTGTTTCATCATCATCAGAGACGTGCTGCAGTGGTCCTTGCATGTCCACATCCTGAGACATAAGTGGTTGTGCATCAGTGCACTCAATCTCTTCCACTTCTAGGGCAGGGCTAGGTGGATGGCCCATAGAAACCCCGCCAGCAGAGTCATCAAAAAGCATAAGAGACTGCTGCATGACTTGTGGCTCAGACTGCTTGGCTGATTTGCAAGAGGGTGAGGTGAAAGACAGATGGCCACGGGCTGCAGGTGCCAACTCTGAGCTTTCAGCAGGGGACTGGGTGGGAGACAATGTGAAGGAACTGGAGGCACTGTCAGCCATCCACTCTACTATCGCCTGTACTTGTTCTGGCCTCACCATTCGTAGAGCGGCATTCAGGCCTACCAAATAACGATGAAGGTTCTGTCGCCTACTCGCACCTGAGGAAGGTGTTTCGCTTGTGCTTGTAGCGGGCACAGATCGACCACGTCCTCTTCTTGCAACAGGAGCTCTATCAACACCAGCAGCACCACGACCAAGGCCACGTCCCTTATTTGACGCTCTCCTCATTGTTTGCGTTTACCCACCAAACTAACAGATGGTTTATGTCAGGCGACAATGTAACCGCCAATAGTCAACAATTTCTTTTACATTTTTTTTTGTTTATTGGACTGCAAGAAATGCATCACAGGCCGCAAATGTACTATTTAGCACCCCAAAAATTTGAATTTTTTAAAGTGCGATGTAACCACAGTATTTGACTCTCAGATATGAAGTGCACACCCCAAATGTACTATTTATCAGCAAAAAAAATTGCATTTTTAAAACTGCTAGGTCACAGCAGTATTTGACGGTGCTATTTGACTTTCAGATATGAAGTGCGCCGCAGGCCGCAAATGTACTATTTAGCACAAAAAAAATGTGAATTTTTAAAACTGCGCTGTAACCACAGTATTTGACGGTTCTATTTGACTCTCAGATATGAAGTGCACACCCCAAAAAATCACCCAACAAATTTGAATTGTTAAAACTGCCCTGTAACCACAGTATTTCACGGTTCTATTTGACTCTCTGATAGAAAGTTCACTGCAGGCCGCAAATGTACTATTTAACACCCCAAAAATTTGAATTGTTAAAACTGCGCTGTAACCACAGTATTTCACGGTTCTATTTGGCTCTCAGATAGAAAGTGCACTGCAGGCCGCAAATGTACTATTTAGCACCCAAGCAATGTGAATTTTTAAAACTGCTATGTCACAGCAGTATTTGACGGTTCTATTTGACTCTCAGATATGAAGTGCAGGCCCCAAACGTACCATTTAGCACCTAAAAAAATTAGAATTTTTAAAACTGCGCTGTAACCACAGTATTTGACGGTTCTATTTTACTCTCAGATATGAAATGCACTGCAGGCCACAAATGTACTATTTATCACCCCCAAAAATTGCATTTTTAAAACTGCGGTGTAACCACAGTATTTGACGGTTCTATCTTGACTCTCAGATATGAAGGGCACCACAAGCCGCAAATGTTCTATTTAGCACCAAACAAATTAAAATTTTTAAAACTGCTATATCACAGCAGTATTTGACGGTTCTATTTGACTCTCAGATATGACATGCACACCCCAAATGTACTATTTAGCACCTAAAAAAATTTGAATTTTTAAAACTGCACTGTAACCATAGTATTTGACGGTTCTATTTGACTATCAGATATGAAGTGCACTGCAGACCACAAATGTGCTATTTAGCACCAAAATTTTTTTAATTTTTAAAACTGCACTCTAACTACAGTATTTGATGGTTCTATTTGACTTTCAGATATGAAGTGCACACCCCAAATGTACTATTTAACACCTTAAAAAAAATGGAATTTTTAAAACTGCTATGTCACAGCAGTATTTGACAGTTCTATTTGACTCCCAGATATGTAGTGCACACCCCAAATGTACTATTTAGCACCTAAAAAAATGGAATTTTTAAAACTGCTATGTCACAGCAGTATTTCACGGTTCTGTTTGACTCTCAGATATGAAGTGCACAGCCCAAATGTACTATTTAGCACCAATTTTTTTTTAATTTTTACAACTGTGCTGGAACCACAGTATTTGACTCTCAGATATGAAGTGCAACGTAGGCCACAAATGTAATATTTAGCACAACATTTTTTAAAATTTTTAAAACTGCTATGTCACAGCAGTATTTGACGGCTCCATTTGACTCTCAGATATGAAGTGCACCGCAGGCCACAAATGTACTATTTAGCACCAAAAAATTTAGAATTGTTAAAACTGCGATGTAACCACAGTATTTGTAGGTTCTATTTGACTCTCAGATATGAAGTGCACACCCCAAATGTACTATTTACCACCTTAAAAAAATGGAATTTTTAAAACTGCTATGTCACAGCAGTATTTGACAGTTCTATTTGACTCCCAGATATGTAGTGCACACCCCAAATGTACTATTTAGCACCTAAAAAATTTGAATTTTTTAAACTGCACTGTAACCACAGTATTTCACGGTTCTGTTTGACTCTCAGATATGAAGAGCAGGCCCCAAATGTACTATTTAGCACTAGAGTTGAGCGAACCCGGACTGTAAAGTTCGGGTTCGTACCGAACATTACGTTTTTTGGACCCTGGATCCGAACACGGACATATCACTGTATGTTCGGGTTGGAGTTCGGTGTTCAGCGATTTAATGGCATGTTTTGAAAAGCTGCAGGGCAGCAAATCAACAAGCGTTTGACTTGTGTGCCCTTAACCCCTTAAAGACCAAACTTCTGGAATAAAAGGGAATCATGACATGTCACACATGTCATGTGTCCTTAAGGGGTTAAAAGCCATCGCAGCCATGCCTACTAATGGCTCGGCTGTGATTGGCCAGTGCAGCATGTGACCCAGCCTCTATACATAAGCTGGAGTCACGTACCGCCGCATGTCACATGAGCTCTTATTAGTGTAGAGAGAGGATTCTGCCGCTTTCAGGGACAGATTAGGAAAGAATTCTGCAAACTAGTACATTAGTGGGGTGCACTTCATATCTGAGAGTCAAATAGAAGCGTCAAATACTTCTGTCACATTGCAGTTTTAAAACGTAAAAAATTTTGGGTGCTAAAAAGTACATTTGTGGGGTGCTCTTCATATCTGAGAGTCAAATAGAAGCGTCAAATAGTGCGGTTACAACACAATTGTAAACATTCTTATTTTCTGGGTGTAATCTGCTAAATAGTATTTTAGTGCGGTGCACTTTATATCTGAGGGTCAAACTTGTCTGGTTACAACTACATCTCTGTTTGTCCACACATTGTAAAGTGGTGCGGAATTTGACGGCGCTCTATAAATATCATAATAATAATAATAATAATAATAATAAAAAGAAGCGTCAAATAGTGCGGTTACAGCGCAGTTGTAAAACTTCTAATTGTTTTGCTGCTAAACTGCTAAATAGTAAATTTTGGGTGTGCTCTTCATATCTGAGAGTCCAATCGAAGCATCAAATAGTGCGGTTACAGCGCAGTTGTAAACACTTTAATTGTTTAGGTGCTAATCTGCTAAATAGTACATTAGTGGGGTGCACTTTATATCTGAGAGTCAAATAAAAGCGTCAAATAGTGCAGTTACAGTGCAGTTGTAAAAATTCTAATTGTTTTGCTGCTAATCTGCTAAATAGTACATATTGAGTGTGCTCTTCATATCTCAGAGTCAAATAGAAGCGTCATATAGTGCGCTTATAGCGCAATTGTAAACATTCTTATTTTCTGGGTGCTAATCTGCTAAATAGTACATTGGTGGAGTGCACTTCATATCTGAGAGTCAAATAGTGCAGTTACAGCGCAGTTGTAAAAATTATAATTGTTTTGCTGCTAAACTGCTAAATAGTAAATTTTGGGGCGTGCTCTTCATATCTGAAAGTCAAATTGAAGCGTCAAATAGTGCGGTTACAGCGCAGTTGTAAACACTCTAGTTTTTTTGGTGCTAAACTGCTAAATAGTACATTTTGGGTGTGCTCTTCATATCTGAGAGTCAAATAGAAGCGTCTAATAGTGCGGTTACAGCGCAATTGTAAACATTCTTATTTTCTGGGTGCTAATTTGCTAAATAGTACATTAGTGGGGTGCACTTCATATCTGAGAGTCAAATAGAAGCGTCAAATAGTGCAGTTACAGCGCAGTTGTAAAAATTCTAATTGTTTTGCTGCTAATCTGCTAAATAGTACATTAGTGGGGTGCACTTCATATCTGAGAGTCAAATAGAAGCGTCAAATAGTGCGGTTATAGCGCAGTTGTAGAAATTCTAATTGTTTTGCTGCTAAACTGATAAATAGTAAATTTTGGGCGTACTCTTCATATCTGAGAGTCAAATAGAACCGTCAAATACTGTGGTTACAGCGCAGTTTGACCAATTCAATTTTTTTTGGGTGCTAAATAGTACATTTGCGGCCTGCACTTCATATCTGACCGTCAAATAGAACCGTCAAATACCAATATAACAATATTGTTATTCGGGGGCAATACCCTCACAAGTCAAACTGAGAGGTCAGTTTATATTGAAACTGTTGCCTGGATACAATTCTAAAACAATTTCCATATGTCCTTTGCAGACTTTACATGCGGGAAAAACACAGGTGCCAACTGCTGTGGCTTTGTGCAGTGTGCAGACCGGCAATGAGGGCAGGGTTGAGGAGTGGGTGGAAGATAATGTAGAGGATGATGAGGTCCTAGACCCCACATGGAATCAAGGTCATACGAGTGACGTGTGCAGTTTTGTTGTTGAGCACCAGCGTTTGTGCGGCCACATACCAGAACCTTCATGCAGCTTCAGTAAAAAGGGTACTGAGTATCAGAAGCCATCACATGCTGGAGAGAATGTGTGAGCAGCAGCAGGCAATAGTGGAGTTTCAGCTGCAGCATGCACGGGTCAGTGGCTCTGCATAGTAATGTCCCGAACGGTTCGCTGGCGAATAGTTCCCGGCAAACATCGCTTGTTCGCGTTCGCCACGGATGGCGAACATATGCGCTGTTCGGTCCGCCCCCTATTCGTCATCATTGAGTAAACTTTGACCCTGTACCTCACAGTCAGCAGACATATTCCAGCCAATAAGCAGCAGACCCTCCCTCCCAGACCCTCCCACCTCCTGGACAGCATCCATTTTACATTCATTGTGAAGCTGCATTCTTAGTGAGAGGAGGGACAGTGTAGCTGCTGCTGATTTGATAGGGTAGTGTATTCAGTGTCCACTACAGTCCTGAAGGACTCATCTGATCTCTGCTGTAAGGACAGCACCCCAAAAAGCCCTTTTTAGGGATAGAACATCAGACTGCTTTTTTTTTCGGTGTAATGTAATTGCAGTTGCCTGCCTGCCAGCCTGTGTGTCAGGTTCACAGCATATACTGTGCCCAGTGCCACCACTCACTCACTGGTGTGCCAATAGCTTGCATTTAAAAAAAACAAAACTTTTTGGACTGTAATATAATAGCAGTCAGTTTCCTTCACGAGTGTGCGTTTCAGGGCCTGCCCAGTGCCACCACTCACTCACTGGTGTCACAATAGCTTGCATTTAAAAAAAACAAAACTTTTTGGACTGTAATATAATAGCAGTCAGTTTCCTTCACGAGTGTGCGTTTCAGGGCCTGCCCAGTGCCACCACTCACTCACTGGTGTCCCAATAGCTTGCATTTAAAAAAACCAAAACTTTTTGGACTGTAATATAATAGCAGTCAGTTTCCTTCACGAGTGTGCGTTTCAGGGCCTGCCCAGTGCCACCACTCACTCACTGGTGTCCCAATAGCTTGCATTTAAAAAAACAAAACTTTTTGGACTGTAATATAATAGCAGTCAGTTTCCTTCACGAGTGTGCGTTTCAGGGCCTGCCCAGTGCCACCACTCACTCACTGGTGTCCCAATAGCTTGCATTTAAAAAAAAACAACTTTTTGGACTGTAATATAATAGCAGTCAGTTTCCTTCATGAGTGTTTCAGGGCCTGCCAGGGCACAGTGTCACACCAGTGCAACTCATATCTGGTGTAACAGTAGTGAACATTTTAAAAAAGAAAATACAATTTTGACTGTAATAGATTGAATAGCAGTTAGTTGTCTGCAAGCGTGTGTCAGGCCTACAGCGTCTACTCTGCCAACTTCTGCCACTGCACAGTGCCACTCATATCTGTTGTCACAGTAGCTTGCACGCATAGTACCACTAATCGAAAAAAAAATGACAGGCAGAGGCAGGCCACCCCGCAGGGGCCGTCATGGTCGTGGTGCTGTGATTACCTTTGGCCCTAGAATAATGCCCAGTGTTCAGAGGCCACGTACCCTGAACTCGAAAAGTTCTGAGGACATAGTTGACTGGATAACATGGGACACCCAATCTTCTACAGCTTCCGTTCGGAACCTTGACGCACCATCCTCCTTCAGCTTAGCTTCGGGCACCTCTCAAGTTACCACTCGCCCGCCTGCCGCCATCACCAACACTAGAACCACAGCAGCTTCACTTGGTATGTCAGAGGAGTTATTTACACATCAGTTGGAAGAAATGAGTGATGCGCAACCATTATTGCCAGAGGATGTAGATAACAGAGATATGTCTCAGTCAGGCAGCATTACACACATGGACGTACGGTGTGATGATGATGATGTTGTACCCGCTGCTGCTTCCATTGCTGAGTTGTCAGATACAAGTGAAGCGGTTGATGACGATGCGTCCGTGGATGTCACGTGGGTACCCACTAGAAGAGAAGAAGAACAGGGGGAAAGTTCAGATGGGGAGACAGAGAGGAGGAGAAGGAGACGAGATGGAAGCAGGGGGAGGTCGTCACAAGGAGCTAGTGGCACAGTCAGACAGCATGCATCGGCACCCGGGGTCAGCCAGACAGCACGCCAATCAATGCATGCTGTTGCCACCACCAGAATGCCGTCATTGCAGAGCTCAGCAGTGTGGAATTTGCGAAGGCACATGATCGCACATCACAAATGCCTATGGGATCAACACATGAGTACAAGCAGCACACAAACTCAAAGCCGCCATCCTCCTCCTGGACCAGCATCTTCAGCCACGTTAACCACTGCTGTCCTCCTTGCCCCCTCTCAACCATCCGCCCCTCCGTCTCTCGTCTTGAGCAGTTCCTGCTCATCTGCCCACAGTCAGGTGTCTGTCAAGGACATGTTTGAGTGTAAGAAGCCAATGTCACAAAGTCACCCCCTTGCCCGGCGTCTGATAGCTGGCTTGACCAAACTCTTACCCCGCCAGCTTTTATCATACAAGCTGGTGGAGTCTGAGGCGTTCAAAAATTTTTTAGTTATTGGGACACCGCAGTGGAAGGTACCCGGCCGAAATTTCTTTGCACAAAAGGCAATCCCCAACCTGTACTCGATTGTGCAAAAGGAAGTAATGGCATGTCTGGCACACAGTGTTGGGGCAGCTCCCAGACGCGTGTAACAGGGCTAACGTGTGCGGCAGCTCACACAGGTGATTCAGCGGTAAAGTGCACTCGCTGGCAGAGCCAAACTGGGAATCCATGGGAATCCAAAGAAGCCCTGGAAAAAAAAATGTATGCCATTCCTACAAGTATGTATATATATATGTATATGTGTATATATAGTCAAATAGAAGCGTGTATATATATATATATATATATATATATACTAACGAAATCAAGATAGATATATATATATATATATATATACACTAACGAGTGCGCTGGATTCTGTGTTTTGTATATATATATATATTTATATATATATATATATAGTACAGTAAGCACCAGTGGCGTACACACCAGGGTCGCACCAGGGGGCCCGGCCGCTCCTGCGACCCGGTATGTACGCCCAGGGCCAGCCTCTTCCCTTGGGGGGCCCAGGAGCCGACCACCCCAGGGCCCCCCGAGGCTGGCCCTGCTGACCCCAGCGGGCAGGTGGCCGGTCGGGCAGGTGGGCGCGCGAGGGAGCTGAAGAGGGAGCACACAGGGGAAAGTGCTCCCTCGCGCGCCGGCCGGCCAGGCAGCCCGCCCACCCAGTGACCAGGAGCCCAGCAGCACCACTGGACCCCAGGGAATCCCCCCAGCACTCCAAAAGGTAAGGAGGCTGGGGGGATTAAATTTGAAAATAAAAATATGTGTGTGTGTGTGTGTTAGTATGTGTTAGTGTATGTGTGTGTGTTAGTGTGTGTGTGTGTGTGTGTTAGTGTATGTGTGTGTTAGAGTGTGTGTGTGTGTTAGTGTTAGTGTATGTGTGTGTGTTAGAGTGTGTGTGTTAGTGTGTGTTAGTGTATGTGTGTGTTAGTGTGTGTGTTAGTGTATGTGTGTGTGTTAGTGTGCAGTTAGTGTATGTGTGTGTTAGTGTGTGTTAGTAAGGTGTGTTAGGAGTGTGTGTGTGTGTTAGTGTATGTGTGTGTGTTAGTGTGTCAGTGTTTGTTTGTGTTAGTGCGTGTGTTAGTGTGTGTCAGTGAATGTGTCTGTTATTGGGTGTGTGTCTGCTAGTGAGTGTGTTTGATGTCTGTTAGTGAGTGTGTGTTTGTCAGTGAAAGTGTATGTATGTCTGTCGCTGAGTGTGTCTCTGTCAGTAAATGTGTGTGTCTGTTAGCTAGTGTGTGTGTCTGTTCGTGAGAGTGTGTGTGTGTGTCTTCAGCATTTACCTTTCTCCAGCATCGGACTCCCCAGTGTCTGCCACTCAGCTCCGAAATGCACATGCGCGGCAAGAGGCGCGCGCGCATTTAAACCGCCCATAGGAAAGCATTACTCAATGCTTTCCTATGGACGTTCAGTGTCTTCTCACTGTGATTTTCACAGTGAGAATCGCTGAAGCTCCTCTAGCAGCTGTCAATGAGACAGCCACCAGAGGCTGGATTAACCCTCAGTGAAACATAGCCGTTTCTCTGAAACTGCTATGTTTTCAGCTGCAAGGTTAAAACTAGAGGGACCTGGCACCCAGACCACTTCATTGAGCTGATGTGATCTGGGTGTCTGTAGTGGTCCTTTAAGTGTGTGTGCATACCGCGGTCGCGGGGTCGCAGCCCTGCAACCCCTGTGACCAGGTGCCCACCACCATGTGTTGCGACCCCGACCCGCGCTGAGTAAGCGCGCGGGGGGGGGCCCACGGATCAATTTTTGCACCGGGGCCCCATGGGTCATGTGTATGCCACTGGTAAGCACACAAGCTCACTGACATGTGCAAATAGGCTTACTGACGGACAAAACTCTCTGACTCACACACAAGCTTACTACAGACAAACTTACTTGTATAAACAGAAGGCTCACTGCAAAGAAGTTCAGGGACACACACAAACTCACTAAAGACAAGCTCACTGACACACACATGCTCACTAAATAGAAGCTCACTGACACACACAAGCAGTACCATTTTAACTGAGTTAAGGGCCCCCGGGCAAAGCAATGCACTCGGGCCCTTCCTACACAACAACTCACAGGAATTTTAATTATTGATAGACTGCTGAGTCCATACACACACAGACTGCTGAGTCCATACACACACACACACACACACAAACAGACTGCTGAGTCCATACACACACAGACTGCTGAGTCCATACACACACACAGACTGCTGAGTCCATACACACACACAGACTGCTGAGTCCATACACACACACAGACCGCTGAGTCCATACAGACACAGACCGCTGAGTCCATACAGACACAGACTGCTGAGTCCATACACACTCACAGACTGCTGAGTCCATACACACTCACAGACTGCTGAGTCCATACACACACAGACTGCTGAGTAAATACACACTCACAGACACACAGACTATTGAGTCCATGCACACACACACACACACACACACACACACAGACTGCGGAGTCCATACACACACACATACACAAACACAGACTGCTATGTCCATACAAACACACACATACACAGACTGCTGGGTCCATGCACACACACACACACACACACACACTGCTGAGTCCATACACACACAGACTGTAGAGTCCATACACACACAGACTGCTGAGTCCATACACACACAGACTGCTGAGTCCATACACACACAGACTGCAGAGTCCATACACACACACACACACACACACAGACTGCTGAGTCCATATATATACACGCACACAGACTGCTGAGTCCCCCCCCCACACACACACAGACTGCTGAGTCCACACACACACAGACTGCTGAGCCCCCCCACACAGACTGCTGAGTCCCTCTACACACACACACACAGACTGCTGAGTCCTACTACCACACACACAGACTGCTGAGCCCCCACATGTGTATCTGCCGAGTCCCCACACAGACTGGGTTGAGTCCCTCCCTACACACAGACTGCTGAGTCCATGCACACACACACAGATTGCTGAGTCCCCCCACATTTCATGCACACAGACTGCTGAGTCCATACACACACACACACACACACAGACTCTGCTTGAGTCCATACACACACAGACTCTGTTGAGTCCATGTGCACAAACACACACACACACACAGACTCTGCTGAGTCCATGCGCACACACACACACAGACTCTGCTGAGTCCATACACACACACACACAGACTCTGCTGAGTCCATGCACACACACACACACAGAGACTCTGCTGAGTCCACGCACACACACACATACAGACTCTGCTGAGTCCATACACACACACACACAGACTGCTATGTCCACACACACACACACACACACACACACCAAGCCTACCTGTCACTGGAGGTCAGACAGCCATCTTCTGCAGCAGCATGGTCTGGCGGGGGCAGGGCTTATGCGCGGGAGGAGGGGCTTGGTTTGGGGGCGGGGCCTGTGCCGGGGAGCCTGTCAGTGCTCCCTCTGGCCCCAGCATCTCTCCAGCCCCTCTCTCCTGCATTCCCTCGAGCTGTCACAGACTGTTACAGCCCGAGGGAATATAATTTAAGAACAAGGAGGGGCACAGCATGATGTAAGGGGGTACCATGGAGACATAGAGACATTTTTGTGCCCAAAAGTTCGAGTCCCCATTGACTTCAATGGGCTTCGGGTTCGGGGTCAAGTTTGAGCCCGATCCCAGACTTTTTTTCAAAGTTCGGCCGAAACCGCTGGCTCAACTCTATTTAGTACCTAAAAAAATGTGAATTTTTAAAACTGCGCTGTAACCACAGTATTTGACGGTTCTATTTGACTCTCAGATATGAAGTGCACCGCAGGCCACAAATGTACTATTTAGCACCAAAACGTTAGATTTTTTAAACAAACAATGTAACAATAGTATTTTTGGGTTTTATTGGACTGCAAGAAATGCACTGCAGGCCACAAATGTTCTATTTAGCACAAAAAAGTGTGATTTTGTTTTTTAAACCAACAATATAACAGTAGTATTTAAGGGTTTTATTGGACTGCAAGAAATGCAGTATGCAAATGTGCTACTTAGCACCAAAAGAATTGCAGTATTAAAAAATGCCTAGATGTTGCCCACTGAGCTACCAGAACAGGATTAAAGTAATGTGCCTGGCACACATGCAGTTGCAAGTGCACTGCAGTCTCTGTGGCACTGGGCTCAGGGCAGGCTACAAAAATGCAGATTCAACACCAGAATTCTTTCCTAATCTGTCCCTCACAGCTGCAGCATCCTCTCCCTACACTAATAACAGCTCATGTGACGTGCGGCGCTACGTGACTCCAGCTTATATATAGAGGCTGGGTCACATGCTGCACTGGCCAATCACAGCCATGCCATTAGTAGGCATGGCTGTGATGGCTTCTAAAGGCACACGAATCAAACGCTTGTTGATTGGCTGCCCTGCAGCCTTTCAAAACGCGCCATTAAATCGTCGAACACCGAACTCCAACCCGAACATACACTGAAATGTCAGTTTTCAGGTCCAGGGTCCAAAAACCTTAATGTTTGGTGTGAATCTGAACTTTACAGTTCGGGTTTGTTCAACTCTAATACTAATGTTTTCCCAAAGCTATTCATTGGTAACTTTTTTTCTTGCTTGTTTGTTTAATCCTTTGGTTTGGATTGTTCAATGGCAAAAGTAAGGTTGCATTCAATTCAGTGGCGTACATACCAGGGTCGCAGGGGTCGCGGCTGCGACCGGGCCCGGCCCACCAGGGGGCCCGGCCGCCCCTGCGACCCGGTATGTAGCCACAGGGCCAGCCTCTTCTCCTGGGGGGCCCAGAGGCCGACCACCTCAGGGCCCTCCGAGGCTGGCCCTGCTGACCCCAGCGGGCGGGCTGTTTGGGTGGCCGGCGTGCGAGGGAGCACTTTCCCCTCAGTGCTTCCTCTTCAGCTCCCTCGTGCGCCGCACTGATGCCGGAGCCGGAAGATGACGTCATCTTCCGGCTCCGGCATCCCTAGGCGGCGCACGAGGGAGCTGAAGAGGAAGCACTGAGGGGAAAGTGCTCCCTAGCGCGCCGGCCACCCAAACAGCCCGCCCGCCAGCCCAGCAGCCCAGCAGCAGCACCACTGGACCCCAGGGAATCCCCCCAGCACCCCAAAAGGTAAGGAGGCTGGGGGGATTCAATTTAAAAAAAAAATGTGTTAGTGTGTGTGTGTGTTAGTGTGTGTGTTAGTGTGTGTGTATTAGTGTTAGTGTGTGTATTAGTGTGTTAGTGTGTGTGTATTAGTGTTAGTGTGTGTGTGTTGGTGTGTATTAGTGTGTGTGTTAGTGTGTGTATTAGTGTTAGTGTGTGTGTGTTAGTGTGTATTAGTGTGTGTGTTAGTGTGTGTATTAGTGTTAGTGTGTGTGTGTTAGTGTTAGTGTGTGTGTTAGTGTGTGTGTGTGTAAATGTTAGTGTGTCTGTTATTGAGTGTGTCTGATGTCTGTTAGTGAGTGTGTGTTTGTCAGTGAAAGTGTATGTTTTGTAAGTGAGTGTGTATGTATGTCTGTCGCTGAGTGTGTCTCTGTTAGTAAATGTGTGTGTCTGTTAGCTAGTGTGTATGCGTCTGTTCGTGAGAGTGTGTGTCTTCAGCATTTACCTTTCTCCAGCGCTGGACTTCCTTGGCGTTGGGGATCCCGCCGCCTCTCAGCTCCGAATGCACATGCGCGGCAAGAGGCGCGCATGCGCATTTAAACCGCCAATAGGAAAGCATTACTCAATGCTTTCCTGTGGACGTTCAGTGTCTTCTCACTGTGATTTTCACAGTGAGAATCGCGGAATCTCCTCTAGCGGCTGTCAATGAGACAGCCACCAGAGGCTGGAATAACCCCCAGTGAAACATAGCCAATTCTCTGAAACAGCTATGTTTTCAGCTGCAGGGTTAAAACTAGAGGGACCTGGCACCCAGACCACTTCATTGAGCTGATGTGATCTGGGTGTCTGTAGTGGTCCTTTAGGTGTGTGTGCAGTATACCGCATTCGCGGGGTCGCAGCCCTGCGACCAGGTGCCCGCCGAGTAAGCGCGCAGGGGGGGGGGGCCCTCGGATCAATTTTTGCACCGGGGCCCCATGGGTCATGTGTACGCCACTGATTCAATTATTATGTGATTATGTGATTCCATAAAAAGCTAGTTTGAAACCCACCAGTAGTTAAAAACAGCTACGTGATAAACAGAATCTCGGTTGATTTGGTACAACTCTTCAAAAGTCTAAATTTGTTCAAACTTCAAGTTTACAATAAAAACTTAGATATATGCTTCTTTTCCCAGGGCTCTACAGAGCAGACTTCTGTAAAAAATGTGCAGACTGACTGCCAATCCCAAGTGAAGGAATATGTGGAAAGATTGGAAAAGCTGAAAGTTCAGGTAAGCCTTGACTGGTATGTAGTCAAGGAATTTACATGTGTTTTATTATCTTTTTCATTACAGAAATTATTAAATAAACAACCTTTATTGTACTATCACTTTCAATGGTGTGATTTCCAATAACCTACTAGTTCATGTTTTCGCTCATCCATTGATGCATCATCTTTGTGTTCTTGCTTGTGTTTACTAGTAGAGTTTAGCGAACCCAAACTGAAAAGTTCGGGTTCGTACCGAACATTAAGTTTTTTGGATCCCGGACCCGAACACGGACATATCACTATATGTTCGGGTTGGAGTTCGGTGTTCGGCAATTTAATGGCGTGTTTTCAAAGGCTGCAGGCAGCCAATCAACAAGCGTTTGACTCGTGTGCCCTTAGAAGCCATCACAGCCATGCCTACTAATGGCATGGCTGTGATTGGCCAGTGCAGCATGTGATCCAGCCTCTATATATAAGCTGGAGTCGCATAGCGCCACACGCAAATAAGCTCTTATTAGTGTAGGGAGAGGATGCTGCCGCTGATAGGGACAGCTTAGGAAATAATTCTGCAAACTAGTACATTAGTGGGGTTGGGTGCACTTCATATCTGAGAGTCAAATAGAAGCGTCAAATACTGCTGTCACATTGCAGTTTTAAAAAGTAATTTTATTTTGGTGCTAAATAGTACCTTAGTGGGGTGCACTTCATATCTGAGAGTCAAATAGAAGCGTGAAATACTGCTGTCACATTGCAGTTTTAAAACTTACAATTTTTTGGGTGCTAAAAAGTACATTAGTGGGTGCACTTCATATCTGAGAGTCAAATAGAAGTGTCAAATACTGCGCTTACAGCGCAGTTGTAAACATTCTAATTGTTTTGCTGCTAAACTGCTAAATTGTACATTTTGGGCATGCTCTTCATATCTGAGAGCCAAAAAGAAGCATCTAATAGTGCACTTACTGCGCAGTTGTAAAATTTCTTATTTTCTCGGTGCTAATCTGCTAAATAGTAAATTTTGGGGCCTGCTCTTCATATCGGAGAGTCAAATAGAAGCGTCTAATAGTGTGCTTACTGTGCCGTTGTAAAAATTCTTATTTTCAGGGTGCTAATCTGCTAAATAGTACATTTTGGGGGTGCTCTTAATATCTGAGAGTCAAATAGAAACGTTGAATAGTGCGCTTACTGCGCATTTGTAAAAATTATTTTTGTTTTGGTGATAAACTGCTAATTAGTACCTATTAGGGGTGCCCTTCATATCTGAGAATCAAATAGAAGCGTCTAATAGTGCGCTTAGAGCGCAGTTGTAAACATTCTTATTGTTTTGGTGCTAAACTGCTAAATAGTACATTTGTGGCCTGCACTTCATATCTGAGAGTCAAATAGAAGCGTCTAATAGTGCGCTTTCAGGGCACTTGTAAACATTCTAATTGTTTTGCTGCTAATTTGTTAAATAGTACATTTGCGGCCTGCACTTCATATCTGAGAGTCAAATCGAAGCGTAACTTTGATTCAAATTTACTACATCGGTCACTTGTAATATTGTTTCACACCTACAACACAGATCTAAGTGATAGAAAACAAATTGATATTTTCTACACTAGAAACTACCAGATAACAAGCTGCTATATTTAAACCAGTTATCAATTGCTAAGAGGTACTTAAACAATATTGTAATTCTGGGGCAATACCCTCACAAGTCAAACTGAGAGGTCAGTTTATAGGGAAAACTGTTGCCTGGATACAATTCTAAAACAATTTCCATATGTCCTTTGCAGACTTTACATGCTGGAAAAACACAGGTGCCAACTGCTGTGGCTTTCTGCAGTGTGCATACCGGCAAGGAGGGCAGGGTTGAGGAGTGGGTGGAAGATGATGTGGAGGATGATGAGGTCCTAGACTCCACATGGAATCAAGGTCATGCGAGTGACGTGTGCAGTTTGGAGGAAGAGGCGCTGGTCGCACAGAGTCACCAGCACAGCATAAGAGGGAGCAGGGTGCAAAAGCAGAGCGGCTGTCTCCTAGTGCTCGTCAGCATGTATTAAATTGAGAATTACCAGTTATCCAAGTAATACATGTAACGATCAAAGGATCCATAATAGAGTTGAGTGAACCCGAACAGCAAAGTTTGGGTTCGTACCAGATTTAACGATCCATTCGTAGTTTAACAGTTAGGTGGGCAGTCCGGTGCCCGGGACCCAGACACAGTCTGGGCGGCAGTCGGACGACCGGGACCCAGTATGCCTGATGTTGAAGTTAGGAGTCACAGTGTGGAATCGATTAGCAGGGTCTGGTGCAGGGTAACCGCACACCCACTGGTGTTGAGCACCAGCATTTATGCAGCCACATACCTGGACCCTGACGAAGCTTCAGTAAAAAGAGTACTTGATACCAGAAGCCACCACCAGACTGATCCGCAATTTGAAACAGGATGTGACATTCACTGTAGCGGCTGTGCGCGCTTTCGGCGTTCTCACTCTGCTGCTGCTCGCCTGTCTGCGCTGCAGCGTGAGTTTGGCCTTCCCACTCACTGCCTCATATGCGACGTGCCCACAAGGTGGAACTTCACCTTGCACATGCTGGAGAGACTGTTTGAAGAGCAGCAGGCGATAGTGGAGTTTCAGCTGCAGCATGCACGGGTCAGTGGCTCTGCACCAGAGTTAAAGGACCAGAGTTAAAGGATTTTGAGTGGACTCATTACAATTACAGGGCCTCTAAAGAGTCCAGTATTGTTATTTGTCATTACTACCTTCCCGCGTTGGGAGTGGGTTATTTGCGCGCCTGCTACCTTCCTTGCATGTGGTAGCTGTTTCTCAGGGTCTCTGTACAGAATGGAACCCTGATTCCCCGTTACCCATGGTCACCATGGTAGGTGCAGTCAATGGCATTGAAAGTTTATATGGATTGACATACGAATGCGTTGTCGCCTTCTCGTTGGGGAGCACATTGAAAAAGTGCTCTAGCATGACGAGCTGGGTGATCTCCTCTAGGAACTTGGCTTGATGGGAGTTGAGCCAGTTCTGGGTGGCCCTTGTGATGCCACAGTGTATACCCAGATATATCAGAGCTGCTGCAGAAAGTGTGGGCCGTCTGTGCGCACTTTTGGCGTTCTCACCCTGCTGCTGCTCGCCTGTCTGCGCTGCAGCGTTACTTCGGCCTTCCTGCTCACCGCCTCATGAGACTGTGCGAGCAGCAGCAGGCGATTGTGGAGTTTCAGCTGCAGCACTCACGAGTCAGTGGCTCTGCACCAGACTACCCTCCAATTGATCAGAGTTAAAGGATTTCAAGTGTACTCATTACAATTACAGGGCCTCTAAAGAGTCCTGTATTGTTATTTGTCGTCATTACCTTCCCGCATCGGGAATGGGTCATTTGCGCGCTTGCTGCCTTCCTTGCATGGGGTACCATTTCTCAGAGTCCCTGTACGGAATGGAACCCTGATTCCCCGTTACCCATGGTCACCATGGTAAGCGCAGAAACTGGCATTGAAAGTTGATATGGATGACATCCGAATGCAAAGTCGCCGTCACGGGGATGTGCAATTGCCCCGAGGGTCTCTAGAGTCAACAAAGTGCTTGCACAACTATAATGTCAACAGCTACTCTGCGGAACAGAGTTGTCTTTTTTTATATGTCTCAATATTTTGGGGGCTACCCCAATTATAAAATATATATATACCGCCACCGCCACGCTCACCGCCTCCTCAACGTATGGGTCACTTAGTATAAACTATGTACACAATAGCAGAGGCTTGTGAAGGCCTTTTCTCCAGGCATCAGGAGTTGAGCATTTCTCCATGCATCAGGACTGCAAGAAATGCACCGCAGGCCACAAATATTTCTTTTTTTATATGTCCCAATATTTAAAGAAAAAAAAAGAAAAATATATATATATAAAAAAAACAGTGTTGGCTACCTCCTCCTCCTCCACCGCTGCTTCCACCTACATGGTGGTCACCACCTCCTTAACCTATGGGTCACTTAGTATAAACTATGTACACAATAGCAGAGGCTTGTGAAGGCCTTTTCTCCATGCATCAGGAGTTGAGCCCAGTTTGAACAATGAAAGAGAATACCCTGCACTCCAACCCACTCTCAAAATGGATAATTCTGCTGATCCTCCTGACAGCCATACTTTAGATTTTGATTTATGTTCTTCCAAAGCTAAAATCAAAGATTCCATCTAGTGCTATTTTATGGCTCAGCTGTATTTTTAATTTTTATGTTATTTTAAGTGATTTCCCTATCTACATTTGTTTGCAGGGCACTTCTCTTACCCTTAACCACATTTTATTTCCCTTTGCAGCCCTCTAGCCCTTTCAAGGAGTTTTTTGTAGAGGTATTTTTGTGCCCAAAAATTCGGGTCCCCATTGACTTCAATGGGGTGCGGGTTCAGGGTCAAGTTCGAGCACGAACCCGTTTTTTTTTCTTTCAAAGTTCGGCCGAACCCGCCGGACCCGAACATCCAGGTGTCCGCTCAACTCTATTTACTAGCCTTTTCTACAATTCATTCTGCTGATGTTTATTTGAAACTGTTATGTCGGAAAACCTACCAAAGATGCAATATAACACAACATGTTCATTGTATTAAGGACCCTAATTTGGATAAGTTAGCTAGGCTTTATACAATCAATTCTCCTCCTATTTATTATAAACCAGGAATTCCAAAATTGCTGGTAGGTACTTAAATTGTGGAGAGGATGGCAAATCAGCCCTGTGTTAGTGTTTATGTGAGCACACCCCTACAACATGTCTGATACTCTTTATATGCGTTTATGTACCATAATATGACACAAGAAAAATACAATTTTGAGGATGAGGGATCGTACTACTTGATGACTAGCTTGTCAACAACTTGAATCTGAGAAATGTTTCTTAACAAAGTGTGTCTTATAGATGGAGGAATACAAAAAGAAAGCTCAAGAAGGTGGTTCTCAGCACCATTGCAACATTATTTTCAGACGATTCCTGCTAGACATTTTGGATGAGGTTCAGCAGTTAGGTTTGGTAAGTTCATAATGCATGTTTTCATTATTGTTTAAGGCAGGTAGTGTTAGTTAAACAGTGAGTTTTGAGTGAAGCACCTATTGTGCTAAAACTTGCAGTTTACCTATCAACTCACTACACATTATTGTCTACTTAAAGGTACACTCCAGTGCCCAAATACAAAATAAATAAAAACCTATGTTTAGTAGATATACCTCACATGAAAACAGGAATGCATTTTATTAAGCATTTTAAAATTTGGGGTACATATAAAACCTGTTTGCAAAAGCTTCTGATCTCTTGTCTGCAGCGTTTGCAAGCCATCCCCTTCTTCCCCAGCCCAGACCTTTTCTCCTTCTCCAGTCACTTATTTCACAATGCTTTGGGCTATTATCTGCCTCTTTAGTGTAGCCCCATTGTAACCGGCACTTTTTGTAAAATGGAAAAAATGAGGACACTCTCTTCACACATAATACTTTTCAGCAAACCAAAATGCTTAAGAAACCAGGTGTGTCTTATTAAACATGTAAAATATTCTATGTTTAGGATATATCTACTTACTATGGGAAATCACAATTAAAATGGCACTGTCCTCAGAGTGCAATTTACCATCATTGACATCCTCTCTAGAATTTTTCTGTTTCATACGGTCTTGTTGAATCTTCCATAGACATCAATGTTGTACTCTTGCACATACCCAAAAATAAAAAAACTTTAGAAATTCAAAACAGGAACAGCACACACCTGTAAAAAGATCTACAGTATGGTGCCAAATGAACTAAGGAGACAACCAATCCCTTGAAATATGCCAAATGTAGAAAAAGAAAATGTCCAACAATCGGACCTTACTGGAGTGAAATGGCAACTTTTTAACTAGCAAAAGAGACATTTTTTTTTTTTTTTAGAAATGTTCTTGTGTGAGCTGAAACATTGCCATTTCACTTCAAGAAAGTCTGCATGTTAGACGTCTTGCATGTGCCTGGACAAAAGTACAACACTGACTTGAGCTCCTGGTATATGATGCACCAGGAGCTGAAGATTGCATATGTCTGCAGCTTTGGGGAATAGCATCAGGTTGTGGCTTGGTTAATTAAACAATTACCATTTAAAGGGTAAGGAAAAGCTAAGAGTGATGAGGGCGGTTTAGCCCATCACTCTCAACCTATCATTGCCATTTAACGTTTTCACTCTACAATTGGTATATACTATTTCCTGGCTAATCCTGGCAGCATCACTTATGGATAACTCTGCCCCAAGGACAGGAAATAGAATTCAAACTAGACCAAGTGTATGAAGGGTCCCTCCTCCCTTCACACCAGTCTTCCTATTTTTAAATGTTTTTATTTTGTGTCTACCTTCCTATATGCACAATGGGTCTGTGTAAGTGCCTATCTATCCCCCAGCCATGAGTATCTGCTTATTATCCTTTTTTTTTTTTATATTTAGTAGATAATCTATTTAAAAAAAAATTTTTTTGTCAATCTTTGTTTTATTGAAATGATAGCGTAATACAATCCTAGAAGAAAATGGTACCAAGTTATAATAGTATGTTGAGCACGGGTAATACACAGTGCAAGACTCAAGTAAACCTGGGTGATAGATACATTTTAAGATATTACGTGAGTAGTCGCTAAACTGACATCAAAACTAGCATTGGCATGGGTGAATTTAAATAGTACTAGCATAAGTAGGTATAAACTCATATACCATACATTAGTAACAGGTGAGAGTTATATCCTCTATAAAAGGCCCAGTATGCCAATAGTGAGTAGGTAAAGAGCAACAGAGCCATAGCAATACAAACAGGAGGGTAAGGTCACTCAGTAGAACATACGTAAAACAGGAAGCTTGAACCATAAAACTTGGAACTTAAAGTGGGTAGTGGTGCTGGAATAAAAACACTGCTCTGTATGCCTAAGCAAAGGGCCCTATGACAAGGGGGTGGAAGGGGTGTTCAGCCTATGCCCACTATTCCGAGCAGCCTGCCCAGTGGTAGTAAAATATACTGGGTCTCCCGGAGCTACCCCACCAGCCCCAGTCTTTAACACAGTCCAGCATTCCTCACTGACCCAATCCCTTCCAGCGCTATGGACGTGGTCTCGGGATCTCACATGTGGCTGTCTTCGTTGCTAAATAGATATCACCCGAGGATGTGAGCTGTGCCTTGGGAGAATTCCCCTTGTGGACGGATGCCTAGGTGAGTGCTGGCAGATCCTAGAGCAGCTACTGTGGGGTTGTGGTGCTTTCCGCCACCTCATCCACCATTTCGCTCGTAGCACAGCGGCGTTGTGGATTAAAGTTTATCTCATAATGGGCTCTGGATGTAGGGTCATTGCCTTGTGACTTAGCACCCGTTTGATTGCGTGAGCCCTGAGCTGGGACCATAGTTGTGTGAAGGCCCACTCAATACATTCCTCAAGGTGAGCCCAGAGCTCGGTGGCTGTGACAGCGGCCATCTTAACTTGTAGGCCATGAGTATTCAGCCCTGCAGATTTTTCTCGGTGGATAACACCATTCACCGGTGACTAGACTGTTGTCAGGTAAGCACTTAGTGTGGACCGGAATATCCCCCACCTGTCCAGAGGGGGAGGGGTAGTGGGGCTGCAAGCCACTTGGTGCATGCCCAAAGTCGGAAGATCGGCTGCCTCTCCCAGCCACCATGCCAACAGTTTCAAGATCAATTTTGCCTGGAAACCTGCTGCTTGAATGGTCCAAGACACCGGTTCCATGGTCTGCTAAGCCTCAATATACATTGGATTGGCCTGCTGAGAGCCCAAATGGTGGCCGAATAACTAGAGCGGGTGAAGAGCGCTCATGAAGTGCGTTCAGCCGCCTTAAAGCTCAAGAGCCACCCCATGCTTATTATACTTCTGAGTCCCTTTATTCGTGTTTTTTCTACCGAATGCCATGTGTTCTTACCTGTATTCTGTGCTCATTCCATATTTGACCTCATAGTACTTTCGGCTCTTCTTGTGGGTTTTTATAAGCCGTTCGTTCATTTTGGCATGAATGTGGCGGCGTCCTGCTTATGTGAATGCACATGCGTTTGGTTATTTCTATTCATGTATTTCAATTCATCTTTCTAGTCATTTCACTAGCTGATAAGTGCTCCATTTGTTTCTTTTCATGCCTGTTCGGGCCAATTTGGTTCTGTTCTACCTCAATTCATTAAGAATAGGAAGCATTTATCCTGTGGCTGCCTAGATAAGATATAATATTAATCCAGGTTTGCATCCAATATTTCTTATATTTCCTTCCTCTCCTTTCCGGTGGATATATTTTAAACTAAAATTTTAATTATCTTTATTTTAAAATGGTATCTCCTTCTACCTCTAGACACTCAATATCCAGAAACCCAAGGTGAGTCAATGTACTATAAGTATTCTGGAGATCAAAAGAGTGCACTTGGGTCCAAATATAAAGCAATAAAGAAAATAGGCTAGTATCCCCTGGGTGAGGATATCACAACAGGGGTGGTCAGTACAAGTGGCACCCTATGACTCTGGGCATGAACCCTGGAAACATTAATATTAAAAGCAAAGTGAGGAAATCCTTATCAAGGAAATTCATCTAGGGTACTGATGTATGAGTGGCTGACGTAAATAGGTGCAATAGTTAAAACATAACTAGAAAAGTATCTATCATGTATATCAAGGCACAGAATTTCATTAAAGTGGATAAACTAATAGGCTTTATTATAGTTGCCAAAAATGTATTAGCCACAAATTATCCCAACTATATAAATAAGAAGTGCCAGCTGATATAGCAGAGGCAGATAGAAACATGCTCATTTCCAAAAAAGTGGATACAAAAAGGTCTAAAGAGATGAATCTCTAAATAGATACATTGTGGCAAATAATATGCCTTAACTTTCACAGACATCATCATGTTTCACAGATATCATGCATGGCCTTTTATTCTTGTCAAAGCCCAAGCAGAAGCCGGGACTGATGTGCCAGGAAATATAAGGAGAGGAATAATCTGTGTGTGGGCTGTAACCAAATGGCACCAGAAGGCAAGAATCTTTGTATCAAATGCCTTGCTCAGGTTGGTAAAGAAAATACAAAAAATAAATCCTATCAAAAGGATCTTGAGACCTGGACTTCCCAAGCAATTGCAGAAGGCCTTAAGCAAAAAGCATGAGGCAGACCAAGCACTCTAAAATACGTTCAAGTTCAGAGTCAGAATATAGGACAGAATTCCTCCTCTAAAAAGAGGAGGACGAAACATTTCATTGAAATATAGAGTCCAAGATGGTGGACAAGCTTATTAGAGACACCTTAAAAATTCAGGAGGAAAAATCAGAATTTCTAGAATCAGACAGATATTTTGAGGGCCTGAAACCTACAAGGTATGCGTTTCATGTCCATAATTCTATTAAGAAAATAACACTGGAAGAATGGAAAAAAAAACAGAAAAGAAGATTACCTAAAAAATAAGGCTTCTAGAAAGTATCCAGTCTCTTCTGAAGATTCTATGTGTTGTAATTCAGTACCAAAAATAGATGCAGCAGTTATCCGTATGGCTAAACGTACTACTCTCTGTGACAAACCCCCCTTCCCATGTGAATTTGCCACAAGCCTCTGGAGGAGCCTGCTTGCTAACCTCTTGCCCACCGACTATGGGCCCTGTACTATACACTGTAAAAGTCTCCGTTTGTGTATTTGGACTATATGGTTCAGGGAACCGAACAGCCGCATGAACCGGAAACCACCGGGGAGCTTGTTAAGCCTAATTGCTACTTTGTAGCAATTTCCCCCGCAGTGTTCTAAGTGTTCGTCTGGGTGACTGCATTTCCTATGGACGACCACGAGGTGGCGGCCATATTGTTCGCACGAACACAGACAACGGTGTTTGGTCGCTGAGTTTATGGAACTGAAAATGGACACAGAAACTCCCGAACACCGCTGGACTTCCAGCATCGCCTGCGTTCGATTCTACACCACTTAGAAGGCCACTGTTTGGTGGAAACGTTCCCACGAACAAGGTGAACAAGCTCCAGGGTAAGACTATTGACTATATTCGGTAGTTTGTTAGTTTTTAAACTACCGAACTAGACTGACCACTAGCCATGATTTCATGGAACTGTTTTGGGCATAGTACAATGTGCATGATCGGTCAAAATGAGACTCCCCTGAACCGATCTGGGTGATTTTCGGATATGTTGGTCACCCAAATCGGGGCTATCAGGGGATTTGTGGGATTTTCATGTGTTTTAAAGGTTGTTTGGGGGTTTTGTAATATTGTATGTTTTTCTGTGGCTGGAGATAGTTGAGTTAGTTCAGTTCCTGACTAGTGATGACCCGAACGGTTCGACGAACGGTTCGCAACGGATGGCGAACATATGCGCTGTTCGGTCTGCCCCCTATGTCATCATTGAGTAAACTTTGACCCTGTACCTCACAGTCAGCAGACACATTCCAGCCAATCAGCAGCAGACCCTCCCTCCCAGACCCTCCCACCTCCTGGACAGCATCCATTTTACATTCATTGTGAAGCTGCATTCTTAGTGAGCTGTCCAGGAGGTGGGAGGGTCTGGGAGGGAGGTTCTGATGCTGATTAGCTGGAATATGTCTGCTGACTGTGAGGTACAGGGTCAAAGTTTACTCAAAGATGACATAGGGGGCGTTCCACGGCGAACCGTTCGGGACATCACTATTCCTGACTCAATTATATCTCAGGCACAGAGGAGGAGTTTGTAACTTTGTAACTAGTCCCCTCTCAGGTCCTGGAGAGGGATTATCCTGTTTGTGTGGGAGTGTCAGAGGTGTGCTTAACTGTGTCTGAAATTGTATAAAAGCAGGCCATCTGGCCGGATTAAAACATTCCAGCTTGTACTCCCAGAACTATGTTTCGTCCGGTTACTGAAAGGGGAAAGGGATAATTACTATTCCAGTGTGGAGGATTCAACGGGGAAAGTCCTCGTAAGGATTAGAGCTCCCAGGACTGAGTGTCGTCCAGTGCCTGGGAGTGGATAGAGCGAGTTCCCCATTCGGTTGCAAGACAGAATGGTTCCAGGACCCCAGTCAAGCCTAGGAAGTGGTCCTTGGCGGAGGTACGCAGCCATACACCCCTGAGGAAGTCCAGAAGAGGACAAAACACGTTGGAGTTGTCTATTTTCTTCATGTGAACTTTTATTTTATTTTTTTAATTTTATTTTACCTTTGCTGTTGCCGCTTGCAGTTTTCGCTGTGATTTTATTGGCTGATACACGTGGATGCCACCTTGGTGTGGAGACATGCTGTCTTTGCTTTGAGACATTGTAAGTGCAATATATATAATAAATTGTTATATTTTTATACAATCTGCACTATCCATCTTTCCCTTTTATTTGAGTGGGCAAGAAGATTTACTATATATCCAGAATTGCATCGCTGGAGGTTCTTCATACTTCATTAGTTCCCTAATACCAAGGGAGATACGCCTGAATTCACCTAAATCTTGTGAGTTTTCTACCACCCCCACCCTATATATGTGTTAATTGTATTACACTATTTTTATATCTCTCCCTATAGATATGTATCTAAGGTAGAGCTGATCAACGAAATACAGTTTGTATTTTTAATTTAAATCACTTTGTGGTGAATTACACAGTCCTGCCCTTTGGTTTTTTCCTTTTTACTACAGGGAGCTCAGCTTCACGTTCCCTATAGACTCCCTAGTTTATCTTAGTTAGCCAATGGAGAAAAGAATGGATGTGGATCTAATCATAGCCTATTTAGTTTTAGGATGAGCTCTTCACACTTCTATTGCTTTAACAACTTTATCTATATCTCTCAAGGTCTGGATAGACAATATGGAAGATGATATTTCCAGTGGGATAAGAAGGGAACTTAAAGGAACACTATAGGGGCAGGAACACAAACATGTATTCCTGCGTTCAAACCACAACCTAGCCCACTCTACCCTCCATAAATATAGCAAAATCTTACCTTTATTTCAGTCTTCTGCTAATCTGCCTTATTGTCTGACATCATCAGAAGTGGTTTTCTGAGCCAATCACATTGCTTTTTACATAGGAAATTGGATTGGCTGAGACTGTCAAGGACGCAGATCAGGGGCAGAGCCAGCACAAGCCAAACACATCCCTGACTAATCAGCATCTCCTCATAGAAATGTATTGAATCAATGCATTTCAATAAGAAAAGTTGAATTTCCATGCAGAGGGTGGAGGCACCGAATGTCAGTGCTGCACACTGTGCACCTCTAGTAGTTATCTAAAAAGAGGCCACTGGAGGTATCCCTATGTTGTAACGTTAAGAATGCCTTTTCTCTGAAAAGACCGTATTTACTGCAAAAAGCCTGAAGGACCTGATAATACTAACCAGAACAAATTCAATAAGCAGTAGTTGTTCTGGTGACTATAGTGTCTCTTTAAAGATTTCAGACTTGCTGCAGATTTTCTTTCCAACGCTTCCCTAGATATAACAAAAATGATATCAAGAAACATGGGCATCGTGGCTCCATGCATTGGGAAGGAGCAGATTATACTACTAAGTCCTACAGACCTAGGAGGGAATATAATAAATATTCCAGTTGTGGGAGTTACCAATCCACATCCTCCTTTACAGCTAAATTTTCTAGAGGAAGAGGATTGCGCACATCATCTAAGAATTTATGAAGGTACACAGGTCCAATAAGAGGTCATTGGAGGAAGACCCCAAAGACTACAATTTGTTTCTTTTACCCCACCTGGAGCAGAAATATTACATACAGTTTGGCTTTAAAGATCATAAATGAAGGTTACAAGCTTGAATTTACAATATGTCCGACCTCAAACATATTCAAGGCATCAAAGATATCAAATCCTACAAAACAAGAAGCAATGCTTCAGATTCTCTTAAAGCTCTTAGACCAAAGGGTTATAGAAGAAGTTCCTTCAAGAGTATTCCTGGCTCCAAAATCTAAGAACAAATGGTGATAATAATAGACCTGAAAGACATAAATCTAGAGCTAAAGAATTTATCTTTCAAAATGGAATCAATATCTTCCATTATCCCTTCGATAAAACAAGAAGATTGGATCACCTCAATAGATTTCAGGGATGTCTATTATCGAATTCCAGTTCATCCACACCAATTCACATTCCTGATATTAATCATCTTTGGCAAACATTACCAGTTCAGAAGTCTTCTCTTCGGTCTAAGCTTAGCTCCCAGAACTTTTTCAAAAGTTCTGGTGACTCTAATTGCCTACTTAAGGACCCGAGGTCTGAGAATGTATCACTATCTAGATGACATACTTATAATAGCAGCCCCCTTCAACATGGCGGTTCTACACACACATTTTGCACTTCAATGTCTCCAAGACCACGGATGGATTGTAAATAGGGAAAAGTGTTCACTGTACCCATCTCACCAGATCATTTATCTAGGAGCAGTGATAGACACCATAAAAGCCTTGGTCCAAATTTCGCCAAACAGAAGTTCTCATATTCAAGAGAAGATTCTGAAGAAGATATCAACATCAGCAAGAGATTATATGAGTCTCCTAGGATCTCTCACTTCCACCATAGGTCTGGTGAGACAGGCTTAGTGGAATTCGAAACCTATTCAAATGAACTCCCTCTTTGAGTTCAAGAAACGTCAGAAAAATTGTTAACAAGAAATTTTGATTCTTCGTCATGTAAAGAACCATCTAAAGTGGTGGCTATCTCTTCACAATCTCCAGAAAGGGTTTCCTTTAGAAGAACCAAATTGGCACATTATTACAACAGATGCCAGCCTCAAAGGTTAGGGAGCCCATTTCAACTTCACCAGGGCTCAAATGACCTTCTCTCAATGGGAGAGGAAACTACATTCCAACATAGGAGAATTAATAACTTCACAAAGTACTTAAGATTTTGTATCCATCACTACATCAAAAATGGGCAGTTGCATCCTATGTCAATCATCAGGGGGACATCAAAAGCAAACATCTTCTTGCTATGAATTCCCTAATGGTACTTGCTCAGACACAACTGTTGGGTCTAAAGGCCTGTACCTTTCAGGTGTAAGCAACACCATAGCAGACTATCTGAGCAGGGACACCATTCAACCAAAAGAATTGAGTCTACACCCAGAGGTATTAAGGATAATTACAACAAGGTAGGGCATACCCCAAATCGACCTCATGGCGAACTGGAAGAATGCTCAAGTGCAGGATTTTATTCTCTAAGGAAAAAGATAATTGCCATAATCGCTATATGGAAAAGATGACCCTGGTTCAAGATGGGCATATCCCATCCCTGGAAACTACCTCTCAGAACAGACCTACTAATCCAAGGCCCGGTACTTTATCCAGATCCATCTCAATGGAATCTGGGAGCATGGATTTTGAATGGGCAACTTTACGAAGGCAAAATCTAACTCTCAGAATCTGAGAAACCTTTAAAAGCAAACTTTTACAGTCCGGTCTAGCTAATGGACTGAGTTTAAGTACTCTTAAAGTCCAATTGTCCGCTTTATCTGCTCTCTACAATACATATTTGTCTACACATCCTTTACTTCAAGATTTTTGAAAGCAGCTATTAAAATTAATCATGCCTGAAGAAATACCTCTTCACCTTGGGATCTTACATTAGTTCTATAATTTTTGACAGATCTCTCAGATGTCTATTGAACATCTTACATACAAAACAGCATTTCTGTTTTCAATTACAACTGCTAAACGTATTACCCAACTTCAAGCTTTTTAATGCCAAGACTCCCATACTTTGATTTCTCACGACAGAGTGGTTCTCAAGCCTGTTCAAACCTTCCTTCCTTCCTAAAGTGGTTTCTAATTTCCATATAGGTCAAGAAGTAGTTTTACCTTCTTTAAATCCTGATCCTCAAACACCTGAAGAAATAAAACTACATGAATTAGATATTCGGGAGTAATTGATTCAATACTTGGAAACTACAATTTTTTTTTAGCAAGACAGAAAAACTATTCGTCCTACCAACAGGCTGCAGGAAAGGAGAATTGGCCCATTTTTTAACTCTTAGATGTTGGATTACTCAGTTATAGCAGATGCATACCAGAAGAAAACAAATCTCCACCATCCAAGATCAGAACTCACTCTACAACAAGCATGTCAAAGTCGCGGCCCACAATGAATATTGTTGTGGCTTGGCGAGTCTCGAGTTTGCCATACTTACTAAAGCAGGGTAAGCACCTGCTCTCCCTACATTTCAGGTGCCTACTCTGCTAAAATTATGCACCCGGGAGGAGACAAACCTGGCGGCATCTCAGCCTTCCTGCTCCTAACTGCTCCCTCGTGCGCGCCCTCTGTACTGTTGCCAGGTGCCAGAATATGGTGTCATTCTGGCACTCTGCGTCACTAAACTGCACACGTAAGGAGCAGGAAGACTGAGCTCCTGAGAGAAGATCAGGGAGAGGCCCCACACCAGCTCCCAAAGGTAGGGAGCAATAAATAAAATGATGTGTGTGTGTCAATGTGTGTCAGTGTGTGTGTTTCTGTCTGTGTGTCTTAGTGTGTGTGTGTGTCTGTCAATGTGTGTGTGAGTCTGCCTGTGTGGGTCTGTCTGTCTTTGTGGGTTTGTCTGTCAGAGCGTGTGTGTGTGTCTGTCAGGGAATGCTTGTCTCTCAGTCTGTGTTGGTCAGTGTTGCGACAGCCACGGATGGACACTGGAGGACCATGTGGTGCACGGAGGCACACAACGCCATGTCACATCCCGACGTGACGTCAACATGCTCCACCTTCACATGTTTTCAAGAAGTAACGGTAGGATCCATTTGGCACAGAATGCAGATGGCGCCATACCAGAGGCTGGACTCCGGAGTCGCATACTGGCAGCGGCAATGTTAGTGGAGTCTGCTTGTTTGCTAAAAAATTTTGTGCTGGGGTTTAGTACAGGGGGGTGCTGAAATTTAGTATTGGGGGGAGGTGAATTAGTACAGGGGGAGGGACTGTGGTTTAGTAGAGGGGGATGCTGTTTTTTTTTGTTTTGTTTTTTATACTGTACTTTTCAAAACAAACTTACGTTTCTATGAAAATTTAAGGTTTTTTTTTTTTTTTTTGCTGCACACATAAACTTAAACCTTGTTTCTGTGGCCCATGCTAGTCTTTGAGTTTGACATAAGTAAAGAATAGTTGGCCGAAAAACAGTCCAAAAGGACAGACCAGGGGGTGACCCTAATGAAATTAATAACAAAAGAGAAAAAGAGGCGGATCTGTCCTACAGAGTATAAATTATTATACGTAAATATAGAGAAAGAGCAGTTAAAAATATATACTTTATTAAACAAAAAAAAGAAGAAACTTACATATAAGGTATAAATCACCTAAAAAGGTGAGTACTTTACACAATGATTGCTGATGCGACAATATGTCAAAGGTGTATCTGACTCTATGATGTAACTATTTGTTTGTTGCACGAGATTCAGATAATAATTTGCAACGGTGTATCAATGAAATCTATGCAGTGATAAAGTGAGATCCTGCGATCACAGCAGTGTATCTTAAGGTGATCAGCCACAGGCTTAATCTTTAGGAATCACCTAAAGATTGCCAGGAAACTCAGTGTATACCACACAACTACTATCTAAACTCAAGCTCAAAATACGAACAAGCCGAACTGGCTGATAATGTCAGGGTTAATGATACGTGGAAATACACAAAAAAATAGGCTACCCGTTAGCTCATCTAATTCCGTTCAATGCCAGGAACTAAACATTACAATAACCATAACCCATAAGTATAATCAATAGCAATAACGCTATTGGAGCTAGAGACAAAGAAAAAAATAGGTAGAATGGTGCCGTCGTGGACACCTGGTATAGTAAAGAAATATACAGGAAAGGTCTAGATAATCCAGGCGAAACACGCGTAGGGTTTGACACCTACCCGATTTTTTTCAGTCATCATCCCTCTCCGTCCCTTTTCTGATTATCATATTCTCCGCTGGCGTTATCATACTGCCCGTTTGGGACCTTTAGAATTTAGATGGCTGACAGCCGCCTCAGCTGTACAGGAACTCTGATAACGATCAGGGTACTTTACTCGATTTAAACTTGCAGGACTCTTATACTACAATTATACTGTACATACAGTTACTTTATCTAGACCTTTCCTGTATATTTCTTTACTATACCAGGTGCCCACGAAGGCACCATTCTACCTATTTTTTTCTCCACCACTTGGGCAAATTGGGCAGAGGTGCCTTCTGATGATATCTGCAAGGCAGCTATTTGGTCTTCCCCAGTAACATTTATTAAGCACTATACTCTGGACATGGCCTCCTCTGCTACTACTTTTGGAAGAGGTGTTTATCTTCTGTTTACAGTTCATGATAAATTATTATTTTATTTTGTGTGTGTTGAAAGCTCCATTAGTTTTATTTCTCACCCTTCTTTACTTTAGCTTGCTTATTACCCATAAGTGATACAGTCATGATTAGCCAGGAATAAGGAAAATGTAAGCCATACTTACTGTAATTTTCTTTTCCTGGCTATTACGTCAGCATCATTTTCTCTTCCTAAGATTATTCTTAATTTTATAATTGACTGGTGTGTGTGGGGAGCATGTACCCTTTATACACTTGGTCTCATTTGAATTCTATTTCCTGTCCTGAGGGGCGGGGTTTCCCCATAAGTGATGCTGCCATGATAAATAGCCAGAAAAAGAAAATTACGGTAAGTATGGTTTATATTTTATTACTTTTTACATTATTATTTACCTTGTTTAACTTACTTATTTTTATCTCAGCCAGATGAGTCCAACCCAGAGGTCCATTATGATGCAGAAGTGTGCTTAACAAGGCATATGATTGCATGGATTGAGAAGTTCACTAATGACAAAGACGGGAGCATTTGTAATACTCGTGAACCATTGCGTAGGATGCTGGTTAAATTCAAGCCTCACAATGAGGAAGAATGGAGGTGGAAATTTGAGGATTACTTTGGTGTGGACATAGTCACTCTTTTCATGGTATGCTTCTTTCTGCAGAATTTTTGATTTACAAAGACATACTGTCTTGAAAATGATTATCATTAAAAAACTATGCGCTTTCCTGTACATTTTATGTCACCTGTATCAACATGTTCAAGAGAGAAACACCAATAATAGACAACTTTAAAAAAGGGAGGAATTATAGTACCTTGCTACCTTACCCAAGTAAAGGCTAATGCAAAATTTAGTGGATCGAATAAAGTAGCAAAGGTTGGTTAAAATACTTATCTCTGCAAAGCATCTCTGACATCTACAAAGAAAGTCTGTATCCGTGTTTTTCTCCATCAGTCAGTGATGTACACGGACATTTGCCATGCGAATATCACTGCAGAGGTTAACTAATTCATGCCAACAATGCTAATTTTAAATAAAAATAAATCTATGCCACATTTATTTTTAAAACAATTAGCGCAACCAATAGGTAACTTTTAGTTTGCCATTTGGTTGTGCTAAAACTTGAAAGTGACACTTCCTCTTTACAAATCATAACTACAGTTTTGGTGAGGCTTATTGATAGTCTTACAAGGTTATTCACTCACCTCCCAATGGCCCCATATCGAATGGGCAAAAACCATCTAACTGTGTATGGAGCCATTCGGACTGCAAAATCCAGACATTATTCACAATATTTAACAATTACCAGATTTTGCAAAACAGGCTCTGAACAAGCCTGAATCAGGTTTGGATTTCAGCGGGTCCATACACTGCAGGACAGCCGACATCCAGACCGCTTGGAATATTCCCATGGCAAGACTCTAGAGAAGAGAAACTTGCCTGTCTGGTGCTTACAAGCCAACCAATCAGAGCTTTCTAATAATAATTTAAAACGTGGGAAAGCATTTATAAAGGCTTTTCTAGTCTTGAAGCTCATACTGTGCGGAGTTCTCACTTTGTGCAGGACAACATGGGTCCATTTTTGTGTCACAACAGGTTAAAAAAAAATTCCCAGAAGGTTTTTGTGAATCAGGATTTGATTTTAGCCTTTTCTGGGGCTGAAGAAAAGATAATTTAGAAGAAAGAAGACCTCCCTCTAAAGTATAATTTTTATTTTATTTTACAGGTATTGACTTTTAGTCCCTTCACAATTTAGTTTATTTTAATGGATGGATAGGGACTTGGGGTGCATATCACTGTCTGCCCCTCTCCCCATGTATTTGTTAGAAGACCCTACTAACTGTGCATGCGTGGGGCTGGGGGAGGACACAATGTCTCCCTCCATTTAAAATTTGGCTTTACCCAAATGTGAATTACCCCATTGATAGAATACCCAGTTTAGTAATGAGAGGTTAGCTTACAACAACCCCCTCATTTAAAACATTAATACATTCTGTAATGATAGAAATATTGTGTAAAGGTATTGTTTGAAAGACTGGAGCAATTAATTCCAATAGTTTTGTCTTTGCACACAAGCTTACTGACTGAAGATAAATTAAAATAATGAGAAAAAAGGTGAATTTAAGGCTATGAGGTTAACTTGTACCTTTTAGAGAGAACAGGAGAAACTCTTTGGCTATACATTAGATAAAGGACAGAGTGTTGGGTAGTGTTCTTCACGCCTAAGCAAACTATAGACATTACATTGATGACATATTCTTCTTCTGCAGATTCTTCTGTGTTTGCTGTGTGTAGTTTTAATGATAGCCACAGAACTTTGGGAATACATAGGATGGTATACACAGATCAAGCGAATCTGTATTCTGAGCTTTATAATCTACTTTGGATGGAACTGGCTGTACTTATATAAGGTTAGTCCAAAATGGAAATATTCCCATCAGTGCAATGCATAATTATCAAGGTGGCAATAAACTAGATAAAGTGACTGTAACTGTAACTAGATAAAGGGGTACTAGGGCTAATGCATGGTCGCATTTTTAACATATGAGTCTGGTCAAAATCCATAATAAAAAGACCTATCTAAAATAAATCTACAAAAATAAAATTCTTTAAAGGATCGCTATAGGGTCAGGAACACAAACATGTATTCCAGACCCTATAGTGAAAACCCACAATTTAGGTGTTTTGTCCTCCCCTCCTTAGCCCCCTCAGAATGGTTTAAAACTCACCTTATTTTCAGCTCTCTGCCGGCATTGACCCCACCCCCTTGGTGACATCTCAAAATTGCTGATTTTAAGCCAATCCAATGCTTTCCCATCTAAGGAGTGGCCACCTGGAGGTGTCCCTAGGGGCAATGTAAACACTGCCTTTTTTGCTGAAAAGGCAGTGTTTACATGAAAATGCCTGAAGGGAGCTATTATACTCACCAGAAGAACTACATTAAGCTGTAGTTGTTCTGGTGACTATAGTGTGCCTTTACGGCATGTTCACTACCTCTATTCATAGTTTATGGTGCATCGAGCTTCCTGTTTCTATCTCTTTTTATTTTGTTCATTATATCTGCAGAAATTTGCAAACATAAGTGCAGCTATTGTTATTCCCAACAATGGAGGTAGGTAATTCATCTCCAAGTTCTTGCACGCTATGTGCGCACATACTCCCTCCATACAATCTATTGAAATGGTTCTCATGCATTATGAGAGAACCTGTACACAAAAACAACTTTAACTTAATTTAGTAGTTTTGGTGTATAGAACATACCTTGGATGTCTCACTGCTTTGCCATTTAGGAGTTAAATCACTTTGTTTATACAGCTCTTGTCAAACCTTCCCTAACTGTCATGCACACAGCCTCCCCATATACATTGTAAAAAAGAGCCCATTTTTATTTATTGTATTTATTTATTTTAACTTCCCTTATTGTAAATTAAATTTAGAATTTCTTTTTTGCTGCCCTGTTAATAGCCTGCTAGACCCTTCAACTGTGTCACTAGGGCTGAATGAACAAAAATTATGTGTTGCCTAAAGCGAAGAGAATTGAGGAATTAAGCAGTGCGACTGTAGGAGCATGATCTATACACAAAAATCACATCATAAAGCTCAAGATGTTTTGGTGCTTATCATATCTCTTTAACCCCTTCCCGACCATAGACGTACCAGGTACATCCGACAAAAAACATCCCTTAAGGACCTCGGACGTACGCGGCTATTATGAGATCGTGATCGCTTCCAGCAGCTCTTATATGGCTCGGTATCAAGGCATCGTGTAATACCCCCAACACTGCCAGCGACCCAAGTCCGCCCCGGGTGCCAGCCGGGTGGGGGGTGC